TTATACAGTGCCTCTTCAAATGCCTGTCAACTAGTACAGGGTGGAACACCAGCTAGTAAGTGCCAGGTCACAATGATAGTCAAGGCCCTAATCACACTCACACCCTCCCAGTGCACCTGTCCACCAGGAGAAGATGAGGCGTGTTTTATTTCTGGGCTATGATGGCAGTGTTCCACTCACATCTTTGTAGGGTCCACATTATTAATGTGCCAGGATTGGCAGTCAGGTTTCTGCTCATACAGCGGCTGAATGTACCCAGTGTTTGGGAGAAGGGACATTGCCTTATTCCTGGGCTGGGATGATAGGGCTGTGCACACACGCAGTCTCTGCAGATACTTACTGGCAAGGTTGTGGTGCTGCTTGCTGGCTGTTGTGCAGAATGGTGTGGGAGACAGGCATTTCTCTTTGTACCATTCAGGTAACATAGAGTTGGCATTGTCAAAAGGGCTTTTTGTTCTGCAAGGCCACAACTTTTTCAGCCCTTTGTCTGATCATGTTATGGGTGTTTTTTGTTTTCTTGTTATTAGTGTGTGGTGTGTTTTTGGGTAATTGTTTACATCTGGTGACATTTCCAATTTGCAAGGTTCTCTGGTACTCAGACCTGAAGCCAAAACAAAAACAAAACCCAACTCTCATCCAAGGAAGTCACCACTGGGCTGGGTTGTTCCTTAAGTCCCAAAGTCCATAATCAGTTTGCCCCCAGGTCTCAGTTTCAGATTCTTCTTAAGTTTCTTTCATGTATATATCCCCATGGACCTTATGTCTAGTAAGTGGGGAGGAGTAGGGCAAAATATGTTTACTCCATCATGTCTAGAACAATTTTTTTAATCTTTGCTCTTGCAAAGGATTTTTTGTTTTTCTGCTGCTGTTAAGATTCTTCTGTTATTACTGATTTTAATCAGTTTGGTTATGATTGCTTTGGTGTGATTTGCTTGGATGAGTTGAACTTCCTGGGTATGTAGGTTTACAGTTTTCACCAAATTTGGAAAACTTATTTCTGTAAATGTCTTTTTTTTTTTTTTTTTTTGTGGTCCCGGCTCATTCTTTTTGCTCTCTTCCAGGGATCCCAATTACAATAATTAGGTTGATTGCAGTTATCCCATAGTTTTCTGTTACCTAATTTACTTTTATTAGTCTGATTTTCTGGTTCAGCTTATAGTTTTTGTTGCTGTGTTCTCAAGCTTAATGTTTTCTTTCATAGTGTCTACTCTATTAATCTCATTGACTGTATTTTTAAATCTTAGACATTTTTTAATCTCTAGAATTTTGTTTAGGTCTTTTTAGTATTTTCCACATCTTATCATGATCAATCTCTTCTTCCTTGTTGGGCATGTAGAAAATAGTTTAGATGGTTGTACTGCCAGTATCTACTGCCAAATATGAAATCTAGCAAATCAAATATAAAAGCTATTTTTGTCATTCCTGGGTGTGTTCCTATAGATTTTTCTTGTTACACTCATGTATTCCTGCATTTTTACACTCCTGTTTTTGGTGTTTTTCCTACCAGCCACACATCATAAAATTTGCCTTCTATGTGCTTGGTATTTTTGTATTTCTAGAAATATACTCAAGGGGCGCCTGGGTGGCTTAGTCGTTAAGCGTCTGCCTTTGGCTCAGGTCATGATCCCAGGGTCCTGGGATCGAGCCCCGCATCAGACTCTCTGCTTGGTGGGAAGCCTGCTTCTCCCTCTCCCACTCCCCCTGCTTGTGTTTCCTCTCTCGCTGTCTCTGTCAAATAAATAAAATCTTTAAAAAAATAAAATTATAGAAATAAACTCAAGCTTTATTCTGGAATATATCTATGTTACCTGGTAACAGTTTTTTCCTATTAAGATTTCCTTTAAACTTTATTAGGTGGGACCAGAAAGCCTTTAGTACTAACTTGCTTCTCTACTGAGGCACTAACTTTTCAAGTAATCTAACCAGTTTATTATGAAGTTTACCTCTCTGGATGATGGGGACACAAACTATTTCTGGCTGTGTGAGCTCCCAAGGGTTACCTGTGCTTTTTCTAAGCAATTCTTTTGCTGGATTCAGGTAGTTCCCTCCATGCACTGATCAAGACTTGCTCTAGTAGTCTGCCCTGTACCTAGCTTTCTCTGCCTCCCTGGACCCTCATCTCCATCTTTGCATCGCGATGCTCCCCCTGTATTCCTCCTCCCTGTGCTGAGATGTGGAAATGCCTACTAGGAAATAAGTGGAGTCAAAAATATGGGTATCATATTTGTTTACACTTGGTTAGGTGTTTCTGTTGTCTTATGTTCAATATCTCAAAACAATTGCTGCTTGTATTTTATCTAGTGTTTTGTTACTTTAGGCAGGAAGGTAAATCCAGTCTATTTTCCATTCTGGCTGCAAACAATATATTTTTTTTAAAGTTCTAGACTTACAGAAAAATTGTAAGAATACAGAATTTCCATACATTCTTCTCCTAGTTTGCATAATATTAACATATTAGATTATCATAGTACAGTGATCAAAACCAGGACATTAACATTGGCATAGTACTATCAATTAAGTACTGGCTTTTTTTTTTTTTTAAGATTTTATTTATTTTAGAGATAGTTGGGGGGAAGAACAGAGGGAGAGGGACAAGCAGCCTCTGTGCTGCCAGATATGAGGCTCAAGCCCATGACCCTGAGATCATGACCTGAGCCGAAATCAAGAGTTGGGCGCTTAACTGATTGAGCCACCCAGGCGCCCCTAAAGTACCAGCTTTATTTGGATTTCACCAAGTCTCCACTAATGTTCCGAAGATCAAATCCAAATTCCTGCATTGTATTTAGTTGTCAAATGGCCTCAGTCTCCTCCACTCTTTTTTTTTTTTTTTTAAAGATTTTATTTATTTATTTGAAAGAGAGAGAATGAGAGACAGAGAGCATGAGAGGGAGGAGGGTCAGGGGGAGAAGCAGACTCCCCGCCGAGCAGGGAGCCCCATGCGGGACTCGATCCCGGGACTCCAGGATCATGACCTGAGCCGAAGGCAGTCGCCCAACCGAGCCACCCAGGCGCCCCAATCTCCTCCACTCTTTTGGGAGTTTTTCATTCTACCCTTGCCACTCATGACCTTGAAAGGTCATGGATTTCTGGAGTAAGTTATTATATAGAAAGTTCTTCATTTTCAGTTTGTCGGCAGTTTCCTCATGATTACATTATGGTTATGCTTTTCTTTCTTTTTTCTTAAGTCAGAATACTATTCCTGTGGTATGCCCTTCTTAGTGCCTCACTTCGGATAGTATATATGCCAGTGTCTTATTACTGGTGATCATTTCAAAAAGGTGGTATATGGAATGTTTTCTCCTTGTAATTATATATTTGGGATAGATACTTTGATATAATTCTAATGGCCTGTTTCTCTTTAAACTGTCACCTTCATATTTTAGTAACCATCAGTGAATTTTGTATATAATTATTACTGTTATTACAGTGTTTCCCTATCTCCCTCATCCCTTTTATATTTATTAATTAGAATTCTTCACCACTAAACTGAAAAAGGATTCCATTATTGGAAGCTAATTTCATGGTTCACTGCAGCAATAAATAGGATAGGTCTGGCACATTCTTTTGTATTTGGGGGGAAAAACCCAAAAACTTCTATGTAGACTAGGGAAAATGTGGAAAGGATAAAGTACCAAATGAAAATGGAAAGGAATGAAGTTTTAACAATCTGAGCACCAGAGAAGTAGCAAAAAAAAAAACGTTAATAGCAATAATTACATTATGGTTTATTGTACCAGCAGTCTGTGAAATTTCAGGAGTTCTTAACATAGTTCAAAGAAAAATGTTGATGTAATGTGACCAAAATATAGTTGTAATTACAAATAAGGGAGGCATAATAAGGGTATCTTGTATTTATTAAATTTTTATTTATTAATCATTTCAAAAAGTAAATGCCAAGATACATGGTTATTTTGTTTCTGTCATTCTTTTTAAGTGTATATGTAAGGTCTAGATAACTCATTGTTTTAATTTGTTCAAGCCAGCAAAAAGAAAAAGGAAAGGAAAAATATATATATATAAATTTTTTTTTTTAAGGTTTTATTTACTTCAGAGAGAGTGAGTGAGCAAGAGAAAAAACACCGGAGAGAGGGAGAAGCAGACTCCCTGCTGAGCAGGGGGCCCGATGTGGCGCTCGATCCCAGGACCCTGAGATCATGACCCGAGCTGAAGGCAGATGCTTAACCAACTGAGCCACCCAGGCACCTCTAAGTATATATTTTTAAAAACTGCTAATTTAAATAAAATACTAATTAGTAATATTTAAATAAAAAGGTCAATATATACAATAAGAAAATGGCTTAATTACTATTGCTGGGTCATGCAAAACTTTTATAGAGTCCAAAAATTCTGGGGAAGACCAATTTGAAAAATTAAAATCTAATAAATGATACATAAATGTATACATAAATACATATGTATCTAAACAATAGGTAAATTTTCTTATAAACATCTAATAACCAGTGGCTCATAATTAACATTAATTGCATAACCAGGTCAACTCTCCTGACTAAAGAAAGAGATAATGGACAGTTAAGAATTACGACTTTATCTCTGTTCACTAATTTTCTTTCTTCTTTTGCTTTTCCTTTCCTTTCTAAAATATTGATTGTCAAGCTGCCACAACCCAGCAAGGCAACACTAACAGGGAATAAAAAGTATAAATATACAAAGCCCAATTGAAGCCATGGTAATAATAGAGTTGTAGACCCTCCAAATATAAGTTTACTAAGTTTATAATCATTGCAATAGTTGTAGATTTTCCCCTCCTTTAATAAATCTAAGAGACAGGTAAGAATGGCTTAGTAAATTTTACAAAATATTTAAAAGTGCCCCTTTCTTTTGGATCCTCATTGGTACTGCCTAGAGGTCAAAAGACTCTTTATTTTTTATTTGACAGAGACGGCGAGAGAGGGAACACACGCAGGGGGAGTGGGAGACGGAGAAGCAGGCTTCCCGCTGATCAGGGAGCCCGATGTGGGGCTCGATCCCAGGACCCCGAGATCATGACCTGAGCCGAAGCCAGACGCTTAAAGACCGAGCCACCCAAGTGCCCCTCAAAAGGCTCTTTAAAGGAATTGTGTTGTGGTAGGTATTTAGGCAAGTCTGTCATGTCAAAACAGAAATTTTAAATCAATCAATTGATGACAATGGGAAGGAAATTACTTATCTAACATTAAAACAAAAACAATAGAAAATTAAACAAAAACAAATCTGCACAAATACCATGCAGGGTCATAAGACTTTTTTTTTTTTTTAAAGATTTTTATTTATTTATTTGACAGAGAGAGACACAGTGAGAGAGGGAACACAAGCAGGGGGAGTGGGAGAGGAAGAAGCAGGCTTCCTGCAGAGCAGGGAGCCTGATGTGGGGCTTGATCCCAGGACTCTGGGATCATGACCTGAGCCGAAGGCAGACCACTTAACGACTGAGCCACCTAGGCGCCTCGGGTCATAAGACTTTAAAACAACATAGTAAGTGACTGGAAGTTTTAACTCTCTGGAGGAAGGAAGGTACATCATATGTAACAAAAAATTAGAATGCAAAAGATTTATTTGAATAATACTACAAATTAACAAGCCAAAAACAATGAAAAGACAAAAGAACAAAAACACAAACATCAAAAGTAACTGTAAACAAAACATGCCCGGAAAAGAAATTCATGTGAAATTGACTAATAATTAGTGAAACACATTTTCCATACATATCAGAAATGAATAGGGACCATCTTATCTAAACGGATATTCACAATGTTATCTGATATGAAAAGGAGAAATAAAAACAAAATATTTGGCAATATCTAACAAAACAAGTATACATCACCTATCACTGAGCAATTCTACTTCTAAATAGAGGGGCCAGGAAGTCTGGAAACAATAAGAGGAACAATGGCCCCTTGATTACTTCATATTATAATGCATGGACTTTCCCAATGAAACTCAGATGCAAAAGGCTTTTGTACATGTCTTTCATTCGAGACAAAACACCAGTACAACTTTTTTATCATCAAGTAAGGTGCTTACCCACGCTAAAGGCACTGAGACATTCCTTACATTCATAGGGTTTCTTACCAGTATGAATTCTCTGATGTTTTGTAAAGGATGAACTATGTCTAAAGGCCTTCCCACATGCCTTGCATTCATAAGGTTTCTCTCCAGTATGAATTCTCTGATGTTCAGTAAGGGCTGAACTATGTCTGAAAGCCTTCCCACATACTTTACATTCATAAGGTTTTTCACCACTGTGAATCCTCTGATGTTGAATAAGTGCTGATGTAAGTCTAAAGAACTTTCCACACTCTTTACATTCATAAGGTTTCTGACCACTGTGAATTCTCTGGTGTCGAGTAAGTTCACTACCTACTCCAAAAGCTTTCCCACATTCCTTGCATTTATAGGGTTTCTCACCAGTATGAATTCTCTGATGTCTAGTCAGGGATGAACTATTTCTAAAGACCTTTCCACATGCCTTGCATTCATAGGGTTTCTTTCCGGTATGAATCCTCTGATGTCGAGCAAGTTCTCTACAGACTCCAAAGGTCTTCCCACATTCTTTACATGCATAAGGTTTCTCACCTGTATGAATTCTCTGATGTTCAATAAGCTGTGAACTAATTCTAAAGACTTTCTCACATTGTATACATTTGTATGGTTTTTCACCAGTATGAATTCTCTGATGTTCAGTTAGCTGTGAATGGAATCTAAAGTCCTTGCCACATTCCATACATTTGTAAGGTTTCTCATCAGTGTGGATTTTCTGGTGTCGAGTAAGTTGTGCATGCACTCTAAAGGATTTTCTACAGAAAGTGCATTCATAGGGTTTCTCACCATCATGAATTATTTGAAGTGGAGTTATTTCTTCAACTCTTCTAATGGTCCTTTCATATTCCTTACATTTATAGCACTTCTGATCATCATGCATTTTCTGTATACTAAGGTCTTCATAAAAACTAAATGCATTCTCATATTCCATATATTTACAAGGTTTCACACCACTATGTATATTCAGTTGTAGGGTATGTGGGTCATCTCCAAAGGTTTTCCAATATGCATTATATTGATAGGTTTTCTCACCAGTATGTATTCTCTCATATTCATCAAAATTTAAGTCACAGCTAAGGACCTTCCCATATGCCTTATATGCATGGGGCTTCTTGCTATCATGAATTCTCTGATGTGATATAAGAGACTTATGATGTTTGTAATTGGGCACTTTTTCAGAGTTGATTTTCATTTGGCTGAAATATCCCACTTCAGGTCTTTGTACTTCAGTCTTGCTTTTGCTTTGCCATTCATTTCTGAAAATGGAGCTCTCAAGACCAATGAATTTACTTTCTGTTACTTTCCACTGAGAACCAGTGATGTCCCTTCTAGTCTTTGTGTCATACTTGGACTCCAAATCTGAAAGAGAGGGGAAAAAGAAACACAGTTTTTGTTTTCATGTGCCATAAAAATGAAATTTATACGATGCAAAGGAGAAAAACTGCAAATACAAACAATACAAGTGAATGACTAAAATACCTCAATGAAGTCTTAAGAAAGATCAGAGAATGATGAAAGCATAATGTAAGATTGTGAGGTCTGTGATAGGGGAAACAGATAAAGTCAATGGGTCTGACATTTAGGTGTTGATCATCACTTAGTAAGCTTGTTGACTGTACTAATGTTTGGGAACCAATCCAGGTAAACTGACCAACATCTACAGATGTAGAACTAGTTATCAGTATCATGTATAGATATAGCTAATGCAGATCATAATTTGATAATCTACACATACTAACAATTTTGGTTTTGTTTTTTGTTGGGGAGCCCAATGCGGGGTTTGAACTCACGACCCTATGATCAAGACCTGACTGAGATCGAGTCGGACACTTACCTGACTGAGCCACCCAAGCACCTGAGGTTGGTTGGTTTCTATTTTTAAGACTTTTTATTTTATTTTTATTATTTGAGATAGAGAGCAAGTGAGAGAGAGACAGCATGAGCAGGGGGAGCAGCGGAGGCAGAGGGACAAGCAGACTCCCCACTGAGCAGGGAGCCCGACATGGGACTCGATCCCAGGACCCTTAGATCATGACCTGAGCCGAAGGCATACACTTAACCGACTGAGCCACCCAGGCGCCCTGGTTTGTTTTTTTTTAACAAGAGAATCCAAATACTTTACTGTGGATAACAAGGTGCTTGTAAGACCTCATCTTAATCCATTATTCCTTTTCACCTAATCTTTTTTTGACCTCTTACAACAAACATAATTTCCACCCACAGGATGTTTCATTGCTTAGAAATGGGTTCTTTATATACCACCCACATTTTACCGTCCAGATCTAAAAGTTACTACCCTCAGAAATGAGGTACTAACTGATCGTAAGTTCATATTTGTTTCTGTTCCAATATCTAGTTGCTCTAGTTGCCTCACATTATTTTTTTTCAGTTGTGTATTCAGTAATTTTCTGTTGTTATGCTGTTTAGCCTTATTCCTTAAATTCCAAAAGGAGAAATATAATCACTATATGCCACTGAATAACAAGCCCCAGGGACATTTAAGTTGATAATTACAGGGAAATTAAATCACTTGATGAAAAGAATCTAAATAAGACAAAAAGGAAATATTATAAAGATCAGTCACTGGGTAACACAACTGATCATCAAAACAGTTATACATAAGAATGATGCAGTAGTTTAAGTGTGCCTCCGTTCCTTCCAACCCTCACACTATACTGCAGTGATTTATACACACACACAAGTAGTGTTTATGAATGATTTTTTTCTAATTGACTCTCCACTTACGTATACTGTCTCCATCACTGCTGTTAATTCCCTGCTACGCATAACCATGATTTTCTTTACCCCACCTGTCAATAAAGATGAGGAATTTTATTTACTGTTCTTCATTAGCTTTTTCACTATCACACATCTATCCTACTGAAATCCTAGTCTATATTTAAATGTTTCCTTCGTGATGTTTCATTTTCCTGTACTCAAAGTCAACGATTGTTACACTCTGCAAAGCAGTTTCAGAATATTTTCGATATTATAGTAGGTATAAATCATACTATAAAGCTTATGCAATTCTGAAAGGGGAAAAAGCTAACAGAATGATGTGGAAAAGGTGGTATAGGTGGGCAAGAATGTAAAAAACAATCTGTTGAACATTGGCTGGAGATTGGCAATTAGATGAGGGGATAACCTGAGGAAAATCCAAAATGAATGATAAACATTCCATGAAACAGGGCAAAAATAATTTCCTGTGACTGAATTATGTTATAAGTAACAAAAGTATAATAATACAATCATTATTTGATTAGAATAATAAAACTGTAAATGAACGCCAGTATTAGTAAATTAAAAAGCACTTCTACCTAGAAATGAAAAACTTTCTACCAAATGTGGAAATGTGATATTACAAAAATTTCAGAGAATGATCCCATTGAAAATACAGTTGACCCTTGAAACTGGGATTAGGGTGCCATTGCCCTGCACAATCAAAAATCATCATATAACTTCTGACTCACCCCAAACTATTAATAGCCTACTACTGCCTGGAAGCCTTTCCAGTAACAGTTGATTAATACATATTTTATATGCTATATGTATTAGGTACTGTATTCATACAATAAAGTAAGCTAAAGAAAAAATGTTAAGAAAAACGTAAAAGGGGCACCTGGGGGGCTCAGTCAGCTGAGCATCTGCCTTAGGCTCAGGTCATGATCCCAGAGTCCTGGGATCGAGCCCCGCATTGGGCTCCCTGCTGCAGGAAGCCTGCTTCTCCCTCTCCCTTTGCCTGCCGCTTCCCTTGCTTCTGCTGTCAAATAAATATAATCTTAAAAAAAAAAAGAAAAAATACATTTACAGTACTGTACTACCTTTATCAAAAAATTCACGTTTAAGTGGACCCACACAGTTCAAACCTGTGTTGTTGAAGGGTCAACTGTATTATATATTAAAATCTAGGGCGCCTGGGTGGCTCAGTCGGTTAAGCGACTGCCTTCGGCTCAGGTCATGATCCCGGAGTCCTAGGATTGAGTCCCGCATTGGGCTCCCGGCTCAGTGGGGAGCCTGCTTCTCCCTCTGACCCTCTCCCCTCTCATGCTGTTTCTCTCTCTCTCAAATAAATAAATAAATAAAATCTTTAAAAAAATAAAATCTATGGAAGTCAGCATTAGTCACACAAAAAGTAAGGATTTAAATATTTTATGTTAATAAGGAGAAAATGAAAATAAGTAATGTATACATCCCAATCAAGAAGATAGGAAACAGGGGCGCCTGGGTGGCTCAGTCGTTAAGCATCTGTCTTCCGCTCAGGTCATGATCCCAGGGTCCTGGGATTGAGCCCCACATCGGGCTCCCTGCTCGGCCAGGAGCCTGCTTCTCCCTCTCCCACTCCCCCTGCTTGTGTTCCCTCTCTAGCTGTCTCTCTCTCTCTCTCTGTCAAATAAATAAAATAAAATCTTTAAAAAAAAAAAAAAAAGAAGATAGGAAACAACAAAGTGACCTAAAGAAAAGGTGAGGGGGGAATTCAATAAATACAGAATCAGATATAGCTAGAAAACATAGAAAAAATATAAATAACAAATATAAAAAATAAAATGATAAAAGAGAAAACCATCAGAGAAGGTATTTTCTAAAATGTTTTAAGACTGCTATGCTAATCGGGGCACCTGGGTGGCTCAGTTGGTTAAGCGACTGCCTTCAGCTCGGGTCATGATCCCGGAGTCCTGGGATCGAGCCCCACGTTGGGCTCCCAGCTCAGCGGGGAGCCTGCTTCTCCCTCTGACCCTCTCCCTTCTCATGCTGTTTCTCTCGCTCTCACATAAATAAATAAAATCTTTAAAAAAAAAAAAAAGACTGCTATGCTAATCAATTTGAAAATATTGAATTACTGAATGAAAAGGGTGAATTATTTTCTAGGTAAATAGATATTAGAAACCCCAGGAGCCATAAAAATTGAAAAAGACCAATTTGCTAGACAGATAAAACTTGTTAGAGACTCACCTCCCACGAAACAAAAAATCATAAGCATGTCCATTGCTCAGGTTGTCGTAGTAAAACACATAACAAGCTAGGGCTCCTAAAAGAAAGATCCGACTCATGATGTGGTGTAGGGAAGGGAGATGTGCCCTTGATTGTTGTGACAGAAAGCAAGAAATCTGAATATAGACACACTACTATGGTGTGAGGATGGAAGGCATGGAGACATGCTTTAACTATTGCATCATTCTTATAGGACACACAAATCACCTGAAGGAGCTAAGGGAGACCACCATTTGACAATACAGGAATCAAAAGGGGAAAAAACCTTTGTGTACTAAAATATGCTAAATAAATATGTAAAATTAATACCTAGTATTGATTTTTTTAAACTACAACAGAAACCACAAACTTAGACCAGAAGAACACACTTTTCACCAATTCAGGTGTCTGGTCTGGGATAAGGAAGGTATAGGGTGAGGCTGGGAAAGTCTCAAAAAGCAAGAATAAATTTAAAGATTAAAGGACTGAGTCAGAGACACACAAAAATCACCACAAGAAATTTCTTGATATCCATACAACTGGGCATCAAGAATTAAGACTGGTGAGCTAAAGTAAACTGAATCAAAAACCAATAAAAAAAAAAATGAGACATAAACAAGAGAAAGTCAGAAAATTTCAGATGCACCATTTTTAGTCGCTAATCAGTTACAATCGTAGGAAGAACATAAACATTCTTGCTGGTAACAGAACATGAGGGCAACTAATAAATGCAGAAGGAATGAGGGATTTAGAAGAAAACATTGATCTAAATGAAGATTTTTAATTGTAAAAATCATTAGGCTAATTATTAATAAGGAACTATATATTCACAGAATGAGAAGCTAAGACAACAGATTTTTCTTTTTCTTTTTTTTTAAGTAGGCTCCCTCGGGGCTTGAACTCACAACGCTGAGATCAAAACTTGAGGTGAGAGCAAGAGTAGGATACTTAACCGACTGAACCACCCAGGCGCCCCTCACAGAGATATCCTTCTGACCATACTGTGTGAATTTGCTTTCTCCCTCATTCTTTATTCCTTTGTTGTTATTTTTTACTTTTCTTTATAGCACTTACCACTATATATGATACATTTTCTAATTATTTGTTTTCCTGTTTATTATACATCTCACTAGTGAGTCAATTCCGTAAAGCAAGAACTGTATCATTTTTTCTCACCATTGTACTGATAGGTCTACCATAATATTTATCTCAGTGTAGACAGTGATTAAATGTTGAGTATATAAATGACCATGGTTTTTTGTCAAGAGAATTTATATAAATCCAAATAGAAAGCAACATGGAAAAAATGTTGGTTGCACTAGGGAAGACCTTAATTGGCTTCCCCAAGTGTTGGGCTTTTTTCCACAGGGCTTTAAAGGGAGTTTCCCAAAAACATCACAAGGACCTACCTCTTCCCAGAGAAGCTGGGCTTTTTACTCTGGTGATGGCTTTCCCTCTCTTACCAGCCCTCACTCACCTGGCCCTCTGTTCTTGTCATATCCCTTACGACCCTCCAGAACAGCTTCCCTTCCTCCAATAAGGTGATCACAAATGGCTTAAAAATGGAACAACCTGGGCACCTGGGTGGCTCAGATGGTTAAGCGTCTGCCTTTGGCTCAGGTCATGATCCCGGGGTCCTGGGATCGAGTCCCGCATCGGGCTCCCTGCTCTTTGGGAGCCTGCTTCTCCCTCCGCCTCTCTGTCTCTCATGAATAAATAAATAAAATCTTTAAAAAAAAAAAAAAAAGAACAACCTGCTTATGACAAAGGAATGTAACATAAGGTATAAAAAAAAGAACTACAATTATATAAAACACTTAAGAGAATTGGTTAAGTTTTGATAAATGAAGTTGAATTGATACTGATAGATTTCAGAGAAAAGAAATGTGAGGAGATTGAAAGACCATTCACCTTAGAGTGACCACAGAATTATATAAAGAGATCTTTATTCAAACCCATTCCAACTCTTTGTCTTGTGAGGCAATTTATTGTACCAGTTAATAACATCAGCTTTTGTGTCAGACTACTTGGGTAGAAAACCTCCTTTTGATACTAATTAGCTGTGTAATCCTGGAGAAGTTGCCTAAATACTTTTTGTCTTAGCAAAATAATACAACAAGTATTCATGTCATAGGGTTACTGAAGAATTAAAAGATTCAATATATTAAAAGTGCTTAGAATAGAACCTGGTACATGCCAAGATCTATGTGATCTGACAGGAAAACAGGCAGCTTTCTAAAACATGAAAAGATCCTTATTGGAATACTGACAATGTTAAATGCGAAGTTCTTCAACCACAAAACAGGTATAAGACCGTACATGTGAGGCAATGAACATGAATTCTGTTTATCCATCTAACATACAAATTATGCATTCTTTTAATAATCATAACAAATCAGGACACAGTTTCCTAGCTACTCTTCAAGAAGGTGGGATAGAAAATAGCAAAGCATTTGTAGCAATTCTGACTTCGAACCCAATATAAGAGCTATCTCAAAGGATGTGTTTTATGTCTTCTAAAATTCAAATTAAACTCCCTGGGTATCAGAGAAAGCAGAAATATGAAGGGACTGAGAAGATACAAACATCATGAAGAATGATGAATGTGCTTAATGGAGGTGTCATTTACAACCCAATGTTCAACCATGCCTCTGGAAACAGGTACCTACTTTCTTATAAGATAGCCTTGGGTTTACTAAAAAGCAACTGATATTCAATAGCGCATATTCTAAATTATATGAAGCAGATAAATTTACCCAGTGAGACCAAGTTGCTATAGTTCTCCATCATCACATCCCAATACAAGTCCCTCTGAGCTGAATCCAGATATTCCCATTCCTCTTGAGAGAAGTTGATGACCACATCCCTGAATGTCACCAATTCCTGAAACAACAAGCCGTATATAGGTGAAATTGAAGGAAATATTTTTGAGAAAAAAGAAAAGAATTGCATTATGGCAGGTAGGCTAAATAGTAACCTGGTAGGCCAAGGGTAGAAGATCTGTAGAACAGATAGGCACACAGGAGTTATACTGTTATGTGTGGTTCCAACTCTCACCAGAAAGTGAAAAACTATGGGAATGTGGGGCAGGCTCTATTTGGTAGGAAGGTTCAGAAAAAGGAAATGTTCACAAAGGAGACAGATCCAGCAACTTACATGGTCCATGCTTAGAACTGTAAAGAATTGGTCTGGGAATTCCATTTCTGCCATGACAGCGTGAGGAACTCCGATCACATGCTCCTCCGTCAAAACTGGTGAAAATTATATATAAAAATATATAGCAAATGAAAAAAACATTTGTTCAAGAAAATCTGCTAAAACTTATTACAAGCTGAAATTCTACGGTATCTGAACCAAACCCTTCCTTGTTCATTCCATCTGAGTGAGAAAAATCCTCTATTCCATACTGGTACAGTCAAGGCTTCCTCACCACTCATCAACCCTTGCTCCCAGATAGATGGCCATCTTTCTGGGAGGAGCAGGACATCAACATTTCTCATCCTGCCCCCACCTGCCTATTGCTCAGGAAAATGCAGCTAAGGGATAGAGATTTTCTTCTGTCTAGCAGCCACACACGAAATGTAATATGTGCCCTGGGTGTGGCAGTGGTAAGAATACCGGGGTTCTAGTTGTCTGCCTTGGATCATGGGAGAGGATCATGGATCATGCCGAGAGCAAATTGCAACTCCTGGCTGCTGTACCCCACCCCACCCCCAATCTACCAAGTACTCAGTTCCTAAAAGCAGAGGTGTGACTCAGAGTGAAGCATGCTATTGTCCCAAGCACTAGATCTGTGGCTCTGTGATTTCATCCAGGGGGAGAAGCAGGCCACAGACAAGAGAGCTGTATATCCCTCTCCAAAGGAAATTACTTCATTTGTAACTATGGATAAATTCAAGCCTAAGGACATTCTCAAAAACAGCGAAGTTTTGGTGAAAGACTGAAAGACTCACTGGACGTGAGTGTTTGATTTTCACAGGCAGTATATACATGTATTTTTTCCCCTTTCACTTAACCATTTTGAATATCAACTGTATAAAATAATATATTATTGGGCCTATAACATATAAAAGTATAATATTTCTGCTAGTAACACAAAGGAGGTGGGTAAAAGCAAAGCCAAATTGGGCTAAGTAAATGAATATAGCTGGTACTTCAAATCCACAATATCAAATCAAAAAAATAAAAAACAGTAAATAAGGGGCAACTGGCTGGCTCAGTAGGCATAGCATGTGGCTCTGATCTTGGGGTTGTGAGTTCAAGCACTATGCTGGGTGTAGAGCTTACTGAAAATTATAAGATTAAAACAACAAAAGCTATGACAGGTTTTCTTTTGTTCTCGTACTTTTTTAAAAAATTTAAATTCAATTAATATATATTATTGGTTTCAGAGGTATAGGCCAGTGATTCATCAGTCTTACATAATACCCAGTGCTCATTATATCACATGCCCTCCTTAATGTCCATCACCCAGTCACCCCATCCTTCCATCCCCCTCCCCTCCAGCAACCCTCAGATTGTTTTTTTTTTTAAAGATTTTATTTATTTATCTGACACAGAGAGACACAGCGAGAGAGGGAACACAAGCAGGGAGAGTGGGAGAGGAGAAGCAGGCTTCCTGCGGAGCAGGGAGCCTGATGCAGGGCCTGGGATCATGACCTGAGACAAAGGCAGATGCTTAATGACTGAGCCACCCAGGCGCCTCCAGATTGTTTATGATTAAGAGTCTCTTATGGTTTGTCTCCCTCTCTGGTTTCGTCTTGTTTTTTTCCTCTCTTCCCCTATGATCCTGTTTTGTTTCCTAAATTCCACATATCCGTGAGATCATATGATAATTGTCTCTGATTGACTTATTTTTTAAAGATTTTTTATTTATTTATTTGACAGAGAGAGACACAGTGAGAGAGGGAACACAAGCAGGGGGAGTGGGAGAGGGAGAAGCAGGCTTCCCACGGAGCAGGGAGCCCAATGTGGGGCTCGATCCCAGGACCCTGGGATCATGACCTGAGCCGAAGGCAGACGCTTAATGATTGAGCCACCCAGGCGCCCTCTGATTGACTTATTTTGCTCAGCAAAACAGTTCAATCCACGTCACTGCTAATGGCAAGATTTCCATTTTTGATGGCTGTGTAATATTCCTGTGTGTGTGTGTGTGTGTGTGTGTGTGTGTGTACCACATCTTCTTTATCCATTCATCTGTTGATGGACATCCGGGCTCTTTCCATAGTTTGGCTATTGTAGACATTGCTGCTATAAACATTGGGGTACAGGTGCCCCTTTGGATCACTACATTTGTATTTTTGGGGTAAATGCCCAGTAGTGGAGTTGCTGGGTCGTAGGGTAGCTCCATTTTCAACTTTTTGAGGAAACTCCATACTGTTTTCCAGACTGGCTGCACCAGTTGCATTCCCACCAACAGTGTAGGAGGGTTCCCCTTTTTGTTCTCATACTTTTTAAAAGACAAGTAAAGTAACACTTCTCTATCTCATGGGATTTTAGTATATATGGAAAGCTGTTTCTCATTAGATGTATACATTAAGCTCTGGATCAACCACTAAAAATAGGTGCAAATCATTTATCTCATAAGGGGTTAAATATCCAAAATACATAAAGGACTCTTACAACTCAGTATAAAAAAAGACATAATCCAATTAAAAAATGGGCAGAGGATCTGAATAGACATTTTCCCCAAAAATATAAATGGTTAACAAATACATGAAAAGGTGCTCCATATCATTAATTGTCACAGAAATGCAATTCAAAACCACAATGAGATACTGCCTTATACCTGTTAGAATGGCTGTTATCAAAAAGACAACAAATAACAAGTGTTGGTGAGATGTGGAGAAAAGGGAAACCTTCTGCACTGTTGGGAATGTAAACTGGTGCAGCAGCTATGGAAAACACTATGGAGGTTCCTCAAAGATTTAAAAATAGAACCACCGTATGATCTAAGCAATTCCACCTCTATTTATCTGAAGGAAATGAAAGCTTTCAGAAAGATTTCTGCACCCCATATGTTCACTGCAGCATTATCTAAAATACACAAGGCATGGAAACAAAATAAATGTTCACTGATGGTTGAATGGTTAAGGAAAATTTGGTGTGTATACAGAATGGAATATTATTCTGCCCTAAAAAGGTAAGGAAATTGTGCCATTTGCAACTACTTGAATTGACCTCGAGGGCATTATGCTAGCTGAAGTAAATCAAAGAAAAATACTCAATGATCTCACTTATATCTGGACTTAAGACTTAAAAAACAAAACAACCTCACAGATACAACATAGTGGTGGTTTCCGGGGCAGGTGGGGGGGTGGAATGTGGGTGGGCGAAATGGATGAACGTGGCCAAGGAAGGTACAAATTTCCAATTATAAAGTAAGTCAAGAGGATATTAATGTATAGCATAGTAATTATACTTGATACTGTGTTGTATGTTTGAAAGTGGCTAAGATGGTAAATCTTAAAAGTTATCAGAAGAAGGTGATGGATGTTAACTGAATTTATTTTGGTAATAATCATTTTGCAACATACACATATATTAAATCATGTTGTACATCTAAAACTAATGTGTTACATGTCAATAATATCTCAATAAAGCTAAAAGAAATAAAGAACAATGGTGAAGGCAACTGAAAGGCAAATATATAATCTAATAATACTGTATTTTGTGTTTGTTGTTCCTCCTTTTTTGCGAAGTCTTTAAAGACCTGCGTAAAACATAATTATAAACCTATTTAAAGGGCACACAATGTATAAGGATATGATCTGGGACTAAAACATTAGAAAAGAAGGTTGGAGCAGTTATAGGAGCTAAACTTTTCTATACTATTAAAGCTAAATTGCTGTACAGTGAAGGTTTGACTCAGCAGGTCTGAAATGTTTAAGCCCTGCCCATTCCAAACAAAGTGTAGGCCCTTAACCAGCTCCTGGTAGATTACCTCTAGTTCCTGGAATATCTGGCATTTAATGATTTTAATCTGTATCCTGTCACTGGAAAAAAAAAGAGTACAACAGCTTTTCTGATGTCTGTGAATCCTTCTGGCAAATCACTGAAACTGAGGGTGGTCTTGGGACCCCTGAATAAAGATGGTTTTATTTCAAACTAGTTCATCATAAATACAAATTTTTTTTTTTTAATGTTTTATTTATTTATTCATGAGAGTCAGAGAGAGAGAGAGAGAGGCAGAGGGAGGAGCAGGCTCCCCGTGGAGCAGGGAGCCCGATGCAGGACTCGATCCCAGGACCCCGGGACCATGACCTGAGCCGAAGGCAGATGCTTAACCATCTGAGCCACCAGGCGCCCCATAAATACAAATTTTTAATTGAAGTCTACAGGATAAATGCTAAGAAAATGACTAAATGGTATAATGAATAGGAAAGAAAAAAGGAGTGAAATGATAAACTATAAAAAAAATCAATGGACAGGGGCGCCTGGGTGGCTCAGTTGGTTAAGCGACTGCCTTCTGCTCAGGTCATGATCCTGGAGTCCCTGGATCGAGTCCCGCATCGGGCTCCCTGCTCGGCAGGGAGTCTGCTTTGCCCTCTGACCCTGTCCCCTCTCATGTGTTCTCTCTCTCTCATTCTCTCTCTCTCAAAGAAATAAATAAAATCTAAAAAAAAAAAAAAAATCAATGGACAGAAAGGAAACCAACTAGGGACAGAAAAGTAAAGAAGATACAGTGTATATAGAAAACAAGTAGAAAATGGTAGGAGCAAGTCTTCAGTTATTACATATTAAATGCAAATGGATTAGACTTTTCAACTAAAAGGCAGACATTGGCAGAATGGGTAGAAAATATGGTGTAACTGTATTCAATTACAACAAACTGATAACAAATCCAAATATATAAATAGGTTGAAAATAAAAGGATGGAAAAGTATATTGCATACCATAGTCATCAAAGAGCTGGATGGCTATACTAATTATGAGACCAAATAGGCTTTACATCAGTACTTCTTACAGGAGACAAAGAAACCTCATATGTTGATAAAAGGGTCTGCCTACAAGAAGACACAACTATGAACACATATGCCTTGAAGCAACAATTGACAGGATTGAGGGGAGAAATAGAAAGTTCTTTTTTATTTTTTAAGATTTATTTATTATTGGGGCACCTGGATGGCTTCAGTTAAGTGGCTGACTCTTGATTCCAGCTCAAGTCATAATCTCAGGGTTGTGAGACTGAGAGCCCTGAGTTGGGCTCTGTGCTCAGTTGGGAGTCTGAGATTCTCTTTCCCTTTCCCGC